GGATGTTTGAATTTATGCATGTGTATATGCACTACAGTAAAAAACTTCGATTTGGATCTACTATACATAATAAACATAGTTCATATTAAACAACTACAGTGAGAAACTATCTATGATTTTAATTGTGATGCACATGTAAGCGAAAATTGTAGTATTAATCAGTATTCATGAGAATAGGGGAGTTCCAGTAACAATATAGATCACTTATGAGGTGATTGAAAACTTATGAATATCTATATTGAAATTTTCACTATGAATAAAATTCTATAAGCATTTTTTGAACCATAACTTAAATGTGTTTTTCAAGTAGGAGCCAACGGATAGCCAATAATCTTCAATAATCAGTGAAACATGTGCTTTTAAGTCACTTCTTAACAACATTAAAATAATAATAAGTCATCAGGTTTAGGTATAATTAGATGACTCAAGAAAATAAAGGGACTGGAAAACGTTGTTTCTTCAATTTGATAGGTAAGAATAATTAAGAATTCCAGATGATCTGGAAATAATTTTCACTCAAAATTATTGAATATTTAACTTTCTATACTTTGAAGTTTATACTATTTGAAAATTCCTTAGTTTAGTTCCTTAGATTAACAACTACACATACAATTATAAATCGCACAGAGCTATGAGTCCTGATCCCATGGTCGTTTATTGTAATGGTTGTTCATTCTTAATAATAGTAAATTACCATTTAATATCTTCAATGCAAATTCACCTCACTCTGGATTTGAATGATTCAACGTTTTTGTACTACAATTTATAGGAAATTTAGTTCAGTAATCATTTTGTTTATGTGACATATTAATATATTTCAAATTGTTGTTTAAAAGTGGTTTTTTTTAACGTAAAATAAGTTGACGCCTCTTAAAGAGCTAGTGAATGCAAAGGTCATTTAAAGGGTGAGAATCATTTGCTTTTGATCTTCGCTTATTTTAGTGCATCTCAAAGCCGTGGACGCATGAATGTATATACAGTCGGATTCATGATATTTATGTTTTTGTAAAAACACTACTTAAAAGTTTTCATTTAATGTCACATCTAACTGAATATAATTTGATGAAAGCAAAAATGTAGATCAAGTTGGGAGAGAAAATATAAAACAATGAGAAAGGAAAAAAACAAAAAACACAAATAATAAAAGTCAGGACGTTTAGAGAATTAAAAATATAACATACATCACATGTAAATATAACACTTTTCTTAGAATAATAATTAGAAAACAAACTTATTTCAGTACTCTTAGTTAGAGGAGGGGATAAATACTTTATTATGTAACTAATTAAACGGTAAATGAATAAATATTTAGTAATTCAGTCAACTGAAACAAAATTATGTTGTCGAATGATAACTGTTTATGAATAAATAGCCTAAAGGCATATAAAAATTGGACAGCTAGGATGCAGCTAGACGATCTAGACTTCGCAGATGATCTGGCCCTTCTATCGCACACACAACAACAAGTGAAGTAGAAGATGACCAGTGTAGCAGCAGTCTCAGCAGCAGTAGGTCTCAATATACACAAAGCGAAAAGCAAGGTTCTTCGATACAACGCAACATGCACCAATCCAATCACAATTGATGGAGACGATTTGGAAGATGTAAAAACCTTTACATATTTGGGCAGCATCATTGATGAACAGGGTGGATCTGATGCAGATGTGAAGGAGTGGATTGGCAAAGCAAGAGCAGCATATTTACGACTGAAGAACATCTGGAACTCAAAGCAACTGTCAATCAACACAAAGGTCAGGATTTTCAATACAAATGTCAAGACAGTTCTACTGTATGGGGCAGAAACTTGGAGAAATACGAAAGCCATCATCCAGAAGATACAGGTGTTTATTAACAGTTGTCTACGCAAAATACTTCGGATCCGTTGGCCAGACACTATTAGCAACAACCTACTGTGGGAAAGAACAAACCAGATCCCAGCAGAGGGAGAAAACAGGAAGAAGAAGCGCTGGAAGCTGATAGGACACACATTGAGAAAAGCACCGAACTGCGTCACAAGACAAGCCCTCACATGGAATCCTGAAGGCCAAAGAAGAAGAGGAAGACCAAAGAACACATAACGCCGAGAAATGGAGACGGGTATGAGAAGAATAAACAAAAATTGGATTAAACTGGAAAGGAAGGCCCAAGACAGAGTGGGTTGGACAATGCTGGTCGGCGGCCTATGCTCCATTGGGGGTAACAGACGTAAGTAAGTAAGCCATATAAAAATCCATGTGAAGGTCTTCCTCCTAGTTAAGTCCTGTCCAACACTACATCAGCTGTTTTGTCGTTCAATAGTAAATAATAAATCAATATATTTTTTTAAAAATGTAAACTTCCATAGATATCCAATTTTTAAGTTGTCGTTCAATAGTTTCAGTAACAGGTGTTTTACTTACGCATTGTTCACTTCATATATTTACACTGAAGCAAATGCAACAAACCATCTACAAGAATGTTTGTGTGTTTGCTTAACTGTTATATCATTCTACGAAAACCCTATATAATAAATTAACATCATAAGTCACCTTTCATTAGAGTAACTTAATAAAATAAGTTCTGTACACACTTAGTATAATATTTGTCCAGGTTATTTTGTACAGGTGGGAAGTGGTACATGGGCAGTAACAAAAGCCTTTAGAATTATATCAATAGATAGTGTAAGATTAACTGTCTTAGGTTTGAAATCATTTCAGTAACTCCAAACCAATGTCAAACATGAAAAACTAACAGTTATTAGTCTTAACTTAGATGCGATGACTATTTCTTTAGTACCGTATCCAAGGCGCTATTGCAAAGTAAATGGAATTTCTTTTGCACAAATGGAAGTACATACCATTAGGAAAAATCTTATTGATATATCCTTAAATATTGTTTATATTTACAATTAGCTGATTATTAAGTATTATGTAATATTTATCTAATCCTTTAGCGTTCGCTGAATTTCATAGGCCAATTACAATGTGAACATTAGTTACAATGAAGCGACACCACGTATATTTGCTAAAATGTTTAGCGATTAAAAGCTATCAACAGGAAACTCTAGACCTAAGTTTCAAGTTGGTCAATCATTATCAGCACTGTTAATGTCACAAAGTGGGAATCTGTATAATGTGGGTTTGAAAACCATTAGGAGTGCAACCCACTCAAGACTGCAAGTACACCTTGATAACGAGTACCAAGTACCACAAAACCTGGATCCAGAATTTTATACGATCTAACTCCAGCCACTTAACATCGTTCATGTCCATTTTTAAATTGATCAGTCTGTTGGCCATAAGAAACGTAGAACCTGGCACATATGTGTATCAGTTCAATTTCCCACATCACATCAGTACAAGAAAATGAAACTATCCATACAAATGTCAGTGTACTAGAAACAATACCAGTGCCAGTTGTAATAAACAAGGTTACTCATCGAAAATATGATTTGGGAAGGATAAACAGATTCCTGTAAAGTAATTTCAAGGCTCAAAATTTATTCATAAACAAAGAATAAATCTACCTCAAACACCATTCAACACCATTTCGCTTCGAAGCCTAGGCTAAATTTGATTCATTAATTCAACCCATTTCTTGAGCTTAAACCAGGCACCACAATCATCGAACATTGACTACTAATCATATATATATATATATATTTATATATATATATATTATTTATACATTTTAGTGTAATTAAAAATAATTTGGAAGAATCGGTAAACACAGAAGTATTAGATAAAGCAATGATTAGTAATTCAAGTAGTGAGATGTTTGTTTGTTTGCTTGCTTGCGTTGCTCATATTATAAACATGCTAAAATCAATTTCAGACTATATATATATACAATGGGACACGTGAATATAAACTCTCATCAACACAATCTATGAGTTATGAATATTAGTGTCTAGTGTTTTACATTTTTCAATTATAATCAATCTCTCCTGTCATTGATCGAAAGATAAATATATGTATATTGATCAATATAAATATTGATGTTGAAATCGTTAGCTGACAAACTCTCATAAATGAAACTAAGTCACCAGTTTCTCGAAAAATTATCAGTTCACTAAGATTACTAAAAATGATCAATTAATGACAGTTAATTTCTCATTAATCCATAGTAATCATATATATTCATAGTTTTTAAGTCTTTTCGAGATCAAAAGCTTTATATGTTAATCGTCAGTTACAAATGACTTATATGTTGACATTCGAAATGATTTTGGCAACACGCCAAAAGTCGTAAATTATTAGACTAGTTGGCTGTTAGCCAAAGAATGAGCTAAAGATATACTAGGAACCTATATTATGACACATAAATCGAAAGTGAAGCCTCTCATTCCTGTTTTCTCATTTGTTACTATCAATAATTGTTTCAGATATTTCTAAGTCAGTTATTTAAATAATTAATAAGAATACATTTATTTTAGAATGTTTTTCCATCAAATTTTAGTTTCTAATCAGAAAGAATTGGATTTGATCAATACACACTCATATCCTGTTTCGAGATATTATTCTTAAAACAAAGGCTCATTCAATAAATGAAATTCAAATGATATATTCCATAATGAGAAAGCAAAAGAATAATAGCCAATCCAGTGCAATTCTTATATTTATCATAAATGTTTTTTAGATATGTATTGCTGAACTATACGAAGTTTATGTCTATTCTTAAGGTTATCGATGTCGAATTTTATGTGGAAAATTTTATTTTTTGGAAAAAGGATAAAGATAAATATATATCCTGATCTCTTCATGCATTTATCTTGTCAGCAGTTTATCTCCTGGATACTTAACTACTAAGACTTCATCGTGGTCTTTTCAGTTTCCCAGAGAATACTGTATATCAATGCTGAAAGGGGATTGGAAGACTTGTTTTGTATCTTGTCTATTACTTATGATTAGATGTTTTATTCATATACTATTTGTGGTCTCACTGAAGTTAACTGAATTCATCTACTTATTGAAACTGTTTCTTTCCTGTTCAATTTTTTTCTGTTTTTCTTATAATTATAGCTACAACCAAGTCGTTCACACACTGGCAGTGTTGAAGTTCGCCTACTTCGTAAATTACCAGCCCCAATGAATATTCTAATATCCGTTCATGTGACAATATCCAAAGGTGATATAGAAATTGCACATGCTGTCACTAAACTTTACCTGTTTGTTACACAATCATTTTCTGAACGATTGAGAACAAGCAGAATAATTCAAAGAGGAATAATTTAAATAATACGTTGTCCCTTCTATCCTTTACTCGTCTGCAATTAAATGTTTTTATTATTATTCAATTAGGATCACTGAGAAATTTTTCCCTCTTTCGGTTTGTTTACCATCCTTTTACACCTAAAATTTTACTTCAAAATTTACAATGCGGTATAAAATCAATGCAGTCAAACTAAGCTGATTAGTCAGTAACAAAAAAAAACATTTTAACAAGTAATATTTATTCAGAAAGAATATCGTATACCTGCTGATACTGTAAGCGATGATCGGTATCATTTATTAGTTTACTGACAAATGAGGAGTCGCACATGAACATGCAGTGAAACATATTCATCTATACAAACATAGTCTATTGCATTTTATACACATTCATATTCTTATAAACTACTTTCATCGATACTGTCATACCTATGATAAATATATATATACATCAGATTCAATAAATCAATAGATTACGCAACATTGATTATCTTAACATATAAACAAACAAACTTATATACATACATAAGCATATATACGCGCATATATATGTAAATTAATCGTTTATTTCTCTACCCTATATCTCAATAATTTCTTTCTTGTTTAAGCGCCACTCCATGGGTATTCAACCATTGATGAGATTATCGTTTTTTGAGTATATAAATATATGTTTAATATTCTTATCCAAGAAATAAAACTGAAACATTATTACTACTCCTAATATCACTACTAATACTACTATTATTGTTAATTATCACGTATTACTGTAATATTTATGTTTGTGTATATGTACGTTTTGCTTAAATGACATCACTTTAATAAATGCTACTTTCTTTTGTTTTCATGAATCGACAACAGCGCTGATAATCACCAAGCTATATAAGCAAATAATCATTTCCAACTCACTCGTAACTGAATTCGGGACAATATTCTTAAAGTTCTAGTAAGAGTTCATGATTCGTATGATCAATGTAGTTGCCACTCAAATAGTGAATCTTTGATGACATTGAACATTTTACTGTAAACTAATTGAAATTTGGAACGAATGTCATTAAAATTTTACGCAGCATCACAATAACATAATGTTCTCAGTGAGATCTGATCGTTCTTGTTTTGATTCCTTATAGAGTTGTGGATACCCTGAATAAATAGCATCAAACTAGAATAAAGTATTTTCCCTTTAGTTTGCAGTCAATTTTCAAATGTCATCTCGTGATAAAAGTTACTTTCAAATTGAGTTTATAAAAACCACTCAATTTCAAAAAAATATCTGGTTACTTGCTATTCAGTTTTCATAAATAATTGTGTTTCCTATGGTTAAATTTCAAGTAACAAAATTATAACGGGGTTTCAGTTGAATTTTTTGATAAATAAATATCAAAATTATGCACGCTGTAGAAACGGAATACTCGTTATCGTCAAAGCCTGTTGTCTAAGTTTTATGCAGAATACAACCCTGTTTATTCGTCAAACGACAAGATTGCTCGTATGTTACGCGTAAAAACTGTTTTATTCCATATGGATAAAAAATGTGTTGTTGGATCATTGAAAACACTTACTGAGAAAAACACTTGGTTTTCTCATGTTTCATTCTTGTTTAAACGATTGTTTACTATTTTAAAGAGATAATACTTTTCCTCAGATATTTTTATTTCAAACGACAATTGAGTAGATTCGAATTGGATAACTGATTTTGTGTGTGTAGGTTAAATTTTCGAGTATTCAAATAAAAAATTAAAGACTCGTAATACTTGATCTAAATAAAGGTGTTTTTAATGGAATCTGAAATAACACTATAAATCTGTTCATTGCTATACATAGTTTTCTTTTTAGATATCAATATACACTATTTAGAAATTCACTGACACGATCATATTATAGTTACAACTTAAGGTAAAATACTGACAGATAACTAGGCAACAGTTATTAATTTTATGATACTCAGTATCATTCAGCATAATAGTATTTCTAGCTTCTCTAAACCAGTAATATCGTGGAAATTTGTTGCTATCTTCTTCAGTAATCTCATCAATGAGAGGTACCTTTCAATCATTTTCACCTAACTCATTATCAGTAAACTAATGTAACTTTCTATGTTCTCCCTCACTTCTTCCAATCGTTTCTTATTATTATTTATACTTATATTAAAGGTCTTTGAATCCTTTTCTTTTCTAGAAAAACAACCTGGTTTTCTTAAGTGGACTAAATTTACTTTGAAACATATTTTTAACTGACATTCCAATTTAACTATCTGATTAAATAGTAGTATTGATAAACAAGAAATATTCTTAAAGATTTGTTATCTGGCAGTTAATAATTTCAATTCAACTACAAAGATTCCTCTATGAAACAACCTATTTGAAACATTATTTATATTGATTATACCATTAATATGTGTAACACAATGATTGAATTCTATAAATATGTGTACTTCAACAACAACAACAACAACAGTGATTATTTCGTTTTAAGTTTATTCAATATTCATTTGTTTGTTTAATATATTCATTGCATTATTGACTGATTTGTTCATGTTAAATAAAAATAAAAGACCAAAGACAAACAATCAATCAGGTATTTGAAATTCACAATATAATAATTTGTAAAATCAAGAAAAGATGAAATAGATTTAAAAAAATAGATCAAGATTGACAAAAGATTATTTATATATCCTTATGTCGATTTTTGACATACTGTATACAAATGTCATATTTTGTCAATAATTAAATAGGGAAGATTTGTTTACAGAACACATCTTTATTCTAGGGAAGTGCTTATGACAAAATTATTTATCAGAATGGTATTAGTTAGGAATTCACATAAAACATCAAACACATTTATCTAGTTATCTATCAAACCATCGTGATTCCATTCACTATTCTGTACACATTACCAAAATTCCCCATACTAAATTAAAATATATACCATAGGATGCGGGTATTTATGAGAATTATTTACTTTGGATTATTTAGCATCACTAGTTGGAAAAAATGACCCACTAAAAGCCAAAGAGCATCAGCTGAACAGATGTTTCGTTTTATTTGAAACTTCTCATAGTTTACCCACCCACCCCCATCCATACACAAAACTCAGTTCCTTCAGGTCTCATGATAGGAATATAATTAACTGTACAATTCATTCCCTGGATTTTGGGTTGTAAACAAAACCTAACATTTACAGCTTTTTAACCAGATACGAGTGATGGCTGGTGGTGGAATCGACCACATGCACTTCGTCTTATTTAGGATTCATCGGCTGGATGTACCTGTATTCCAGAATTGATGTTCACTCCAGATTCCAATCCAGTGCTATTTACTTCAAGCACCATCGCGTTATTCACTTACTTATTGTATCCAGACAGCCATTCGATTCAAACAATCAATACAAATGAATATACAGCTTTAAATTCTTTTATTTGGATATCTTAAACAGTGAACTTGCTACAAAACATCAACAATTTTACATTTAATTATTTATTATAAAATAATAAGTTAATCATAGAAAGAATGATATTTTTATAAATTAAAAGAATCTAAGTCAACTAGACTAGTTAAAGGATAATATAAAATAAGAATCAAATAGAGCTAACAAGTATAGATATTATATTTGAACAATTTCTAGGTGACATGTTCAAGTCTATGCTATCAAAATGATCAATTAACGCAAAGTATTCTTTTTTTTATTCAAAATAGAATAGATAATAGAATGTCTGATATTATATTTGGAAGAGCTTCAAATTGAATTCATATGATAAACAGAAAATAATTATTTATTAAGGAGACTAATTGTAAACAGAAATACATTTTATATTTCCTATTAACATTTATACATAAATACAATGATCTATTTGGATGGAATAAAAGAAAAGAATTCGACTTGAAATTTAATACTTTAATTAACAACAATAACCGATTCATTATCATATAACAACGAATATTTTAATAGTTTTACTCTAAAATTTATTATATTTAATACAGTTTAAGGCAGGTATATAAATTCACTTGTAAACAGTACAAATGAAATAATCACATCTAACTCTCACTCTTTTTATCTATCTTTCAGAGTAAATAAATAATCACTGATCTAAACAACTGAATAAACAAATAAAAATATTCCATGAAGTTATTCGACAACTCAAGAATTTGCTGTTATCTCATTTTTGTAAAATAAACACAAATAAATAATGATTTATAGCCAAATAAAATAAACAATAACTGATTTAGTCTAAACGTTTGATTGTTTACATATATATGATACTAAATCCTTTTGTAAGGGTTATTTACACTAGTGACTAATTCACTATCGAAATAATAATATCAACGGTTGTGGGAAAATTAAGCATAAGAAATATAATTTAACAAACCAAAAGGATTGGAAGATGAGGAGTATAGAACAATATCATGATTAAAGATGTATACATTCCAGATGAAACAGATTACAAACCACACCTTTTAAAGTCTTTAATCATAGATTACGACTATGCCAATTACTCTAACCAAAAAGCTTGTACATAATAACATGGCTTAGATCAACGGTTGATAAATTCATGAGCTGTTATCACGTTACGATTAGCTTTTTAGTCATTACAGTACTCACAAAATCCACAATATAGTGGGATTCCATATAACTGGGTTTTACATTAAAATAAACATTTTTGTCTAGCATAACCTATAAGTAGTTGAAAAACTCAACAAATACTTTTTTTCACATAAAACGTTTGCTTATCCAAAATATTTGTGTTTTTCTCATCTTTCCCAATAGTTTCGTTGTTGTTGTTGTTACCGCCTCTGTTACTGATGTTGAAGGTGGTAGTCAGAAAAATGTATAGAAAAATTTGTTACAAAAAGAAATCAATATGGAATAATGGGAAAAAAATTGAAACCGAAAACAAAACCGACTGGAATTTATGATTTTTATTTGGTCGGATTCGAAAAGAAGAATAAAATAGAATAAGGATTTAGTTACCACAAAAATAAAAGTATATAGATTAGAATATTCCTAGAAAGATTAATGATAAACTGTCTTTAAATGTAATATCAATACTTATTAAAAATTAAAGCCGTCAACTTTAAATCTAGGCTTTAATAAAATTTTCTGCAAATTTAGTCGTATTCTTTGTGCGCATACATATATTACTCAGTCGTTATTTAAAAATATGTTCGGTACTAATAATTAATGTACTTCTGTTCAAATTAATGCTGTTTCTTATCCTATTCTCCCACTCATGGATTCATATAAAACGGAGTTTCAGTAAAGGTTTATCCTATAGTAGTCTATTAATTACTAAAAATGTGATATTTCAGTAATATAGTACAAACTAGACAGGGGTTGTTAGGAATACTAATAAGTATTGCAAAATTATGAAAAACGAAAAGTTATTCCATTGAAATAATATTTCTATACGTTTGTCCTAAAATTATACCCTGAATTTATTTTTTCAGTTCATTGATTAAGCTGATGAATTGACATTCGACTTATTTTATCCACGATTATTCAATCTTTTGTTGTAATACTATGCAAGTAAAGCTTTAATTTATTGTCAAGAATGTGTGAATAAATCCAGATTCATAAATTTACAGTGATAAGTTAGTGTCTTGTATAAATAGACTAAATAAAAATGTTCTGTAATATTGTCTGAAACAATTGTTAGTGTTTCCATTTTCCAAAGAAAGGTTTATATTCATTTCAAGTCATATTTAATATGTACCGAATGAAGTTCAGATTAGTCATCAGATTGAATTATTCATTACAAATTCTTTCATCGTCTTGACAGTAAACATACTTTACATAACCAGTTGTAAAAACAAATAATTTATATTTATAAACTTAAACTGTGTCGAAGATGTAGACTAATTCTGAGGTATAAATACATTTACGTAATCAGTTCCAAAATCAGTCCATGCAGTTACATGTATTTTTTTAGGCATTATACTCTCTAACCAACTTCAGATTTACTGTCATGAATATTACAACTATTATTTATATTATGCTACCGTTCATTCAAATACAATAACGATTCGTTCTTTGTAACGTATATTATTCAACTGTTATAATTAATAATAAAATCCTACATAGAATATTAATAATTCGGTTCACATTTGACCTATTTAAATAATTATTTATTTATTTGATTTAAAAATGAATGTTTATCCATAGTGAAAACATTTTTTTATTCATCAAAAGGATGTATATTTAGTTGTTTAGCCAACATTTTCTATTTGAGAAAAATTATATTAACGCTTATATGAATAAAATAATTTCATAATATCAGTTAACTTATGAAATAATAATGCATTGTACAAGTTTATTAGTCTTAAATTTTCTATTAAGGATAAATTTCTTTTAGGGATTGTCAACTACACTTCATTCAACTGTAGTTATCTCATTTAAGTATTTCAATGATATCTATCCATTGAATTAATTTCAATTGTAAATGTACGATTTAAAGAGATTGTAATTCTCTGTGAATAACAATCTATGGAAGCCCAGTTAGTGTTTTTTTTTATCACAATTTCTTCAGATTAATAATGATTGTAAATTTCAGCCATTAACCTATAATTGAATGTTTAGTAAAACGATATACAGAATATTCTAAATAATTTTGATAATAACACCTCACATAGTCAGTATGAAGGTCAGAAAAGAAGAAGAGTAAGTGGAAAATGTAAATCAACAATATAGTAGTAATATTGTATAATATACTAGAACATAGTCAATAAATGACAGAGCAAATGGTTATTTGAAAGTGCTAATAAGATATAGGATTACCAATAGATCACAAGGAATCTATTACACAGAATAATTTGACAAAATGACCACTAACACAAATATTTAATATCCTCAGTTCGCATGAATTAGAAAAATAATTTAAGAATAAGAAAATCTTATTTTTCTATGTATAACAATTAATCACTGGAGGTCAGCATCAAGTCTCAACAAACATAATCATGCAAAAAATTTATTTCTATTAGACCATATGATATTAACTCCGCCAGTAGCTCTCCTAGAGTTACTCTCCGTCCCAAGCCCAGGTAAAGGAGGAGGGTTGGGCATGAGTCAGCAACCCCATCCCATAGAAAAAATCTAGATAAAAAACGCTAACCAGATTAGACCATTTAAACTCTGCCTTCCGAGCTGAAGGAAGAATTAAGACGGCTCAGGATGAAAGCTGAAATTCTTCGGAAGTCACGAAGCCGATGCTCCTTCTAACAACCAAAGCAACAATTTTTATCGGTACATGTAACGTCCGCACAATGTAAGACGGACAGGACCAGTCAAACACCTACGGAAATGAGGAGATACAAACTGGCGATTCTTGTAACCAGCGAAACCTATTGGACCCAAGCTGCACAGCAAAGGCTAGATAAGGGAGAGATGCTACTATACTCCGGTCAGGAAGAGGAGTTGCTCTCCAAAGAACCACGACATGAACTTACAGGATGGGAATCTCAAGGATCTAAGATCATCAAAGCACCATTCAATACAAGGAAAGATGGAATTACAATGAATGTTATCAGATATTATGCACCCACCAACAATAGCAACGACGACGATAAAGACCAGTTTTATAGGAGGCTGCAACCGATCACAGCGAAGTGCCTAAGAAAAGACCTGACCATCCTGATTGGAGACTGAACCGCCAAAGTTGGAATGGACAATAATGGGGTATGAAGATATCATGGAAAGACATTGACAGGAAGAAAGGAACAGGTATGGGAAGATATTTGCGGGTCAACCTGCATTCAACAAATTGGTTATAGACGGCACAATATTCTCACACAAACGGATGCACAAAGCTACATGGATTTCACACGACTATTCTACTGAGAACCAGATCGATCATGTTTACATCGGTAAAAAAAATTCGGGAAGACAATGGAAGATGTGAGAACCAGGAGAGGAACTTACATACCTCCAGATCACCACTAGCTGGTGGTTGTCAGGGTGAAACTGAAGCTAAAGAAGTACTGGACAACTGGGGAAACAGCATTATGAAGGTTCAATGCAGTTATCCTTCGAGATACTGACAAACTCAACGAATTCATGATATCTCTCAACAACAAGTTCCAAGCCTTACAGGATCTACTGAAAGAAGAAACTACTATGAAGGAAAACTGGAAAGGTATCAAAGAAACATAAACTTTAACGTGCTAGGAGATGCTGGGCCACAAGAAGCAACACCATAAGGAATGGATCTCTAAGGATACCGTGGACAAGATTCAAGAAAGGAAGCACAAAAAGACAGCAAATAATAACAGACGAACAAGAACAGAGAAAGTAAAGGCACAAGCTGAATACACAGAAGCAAATAAGCAAGTGAAGAGCATTAGAACTGACAAGCAGAAATACGTGGAAGACTTAACAACGACAGCGAAAAAAGCTGCAACAGAAGAAAATATGAGACAACTATACGACATAACGAAGAAACTACCAGGGAAATATAGTAAACCAGGGAAACCGGTAAAGGACAGAAAATGAAAGACAATCACTGAGGTTTAAGGCTAATCCAATGGAGTTCTTATTAACAGAAATGAGAAAATTCAAGCTCCTTAAATAACTTCGTACCAGCTGCACAAGCTAATGGTTACCTAAGCTCAGTAGCTTACTATATAAGATACCTGTAATTGAAGCGACAAGCAATTAACTAACTTAAAACAACCATGGCTAGTTTCATACGATTGAATCCTAATCATAAGAAACCAATAAAGTTTTACGCAGAATCACTTAAATTTCTACAAAATAAAACAAACATCAGACTCATTTGAATTTATACTAAAACAGTAAAGATGGCAAAGACAAACGTCTTGTAAAATCATTGATACATGGGCTTAAATTGTGTACTGTACTGAAGTATATATTAATACTTATTCCGAGGGCTATCATAAAGTTAGCAATAACAAGGAGTGTGAACGGGCTATTCACATTTTTTGACCCATTAACAAACTCGAGTGATAAAAAAGTGAAAATTTACCAATAATGAAAGCAACAAATTTACTTAGCCTATGTCGAATTATGTAAAAGTTTAAAAATTCATGGGGTCGTTTTCGTTTCGATTCTCCAAACCTATTTCAAAGCTTTCTTAAGTTTTTTGCATCCGATATGATCAATATGGATGACAGAATACAGTGAAAAGTTCAAATATCTTGTCATTCAGGTGACTGATAGCAGAAAGCAATATCGTATAATAATTATATTTAAACATAACAAACAGATACTTCTTAAAGGTAGCTGCTTTCTAACGGAAATGCTACTTAAATAATATAATCTTTGTGAACAGTATTGGTTTGAGCATAGTTTTTAAATCAAATTTAAAAGTGGAATTTGGCTGTACTGAGCTTACCATTTTGGATAGAATTTTCAATTTCTCGAAATAAATAAACAATTATCTAGGAAAATATCCTGCATCAAATGAAAAGAACAATGCTGAAAACGTCCGAATACTATCTAAACTTTATGGAATGTAATGATCCTATACTTTAATTCTAAAGTAATTTATGGTTTCGTATATAACGATCGGTTACTTCTCCTTAACTTTTAACCACTAGTCTAGTAAGCTCAGTGTCTAAGGAAGCTAAATTTAAGTAAACGTAATAACACGAAATGCAAAGAATATTTTAAAAAATAATTGTTTAGTATGATTCCATTTCAAAAAGCTTTACTGAAAGGTGTTCTATTATTATTGTTAGTGTGAAACAGAACAAAATTTGTACTAAGATATTCAATTTTAAGTTATAATTTGTTAAGATTTCAATGAGATGTCAGTTAGGGAAACATTTAAAGCAAAAATAGGTGTTACCCATTTTGTCCTTATTTAAATCACTTCAACAACCTGCACCCAAAATATTACACACCATTAAACCCAAAAGTTCCATTGGAATCGAACAAATAGGTGAAAAGCACTTAAACTCATTTGCATTGTTACTAGAAGCTACCAAACCTGTATGATAAGATCGAATCAAAAATGATCTATCGACTATAGCTAAATATAAAATTGTTAGTAAAACTTGATTAGGTACAAAACAGAAGATTATCTCTCTTTGACCGTAATTTTAGATCACAATAGCGAGCATCCTTTTAAGAGATTTGACTTAATGATTTCAAAAGAATCGAACTTTGGACAGATTGTGTATAATAATAAATTAATAATATTCTAATAAATATAAGATTGAATTTATGAAGTTTCACAACGTAGTGTGCCACTACTTCACAGGATAAATAATTAACATTTCAAAATGCAACACTTACAAAGAAAGTTATCTGTTCTTTGAAGGGGCTAAACATCCCAAACTCAAGTTTTGCTCATTAGGATGATTAGATCATTAGTCTCAGCTGATATTAGTTTCATCCCTCGAGTGTGACAATTAGGCACTTTTATCACTTGTTTTTTTTATTGTATTATTATTTCAATTCATTGCGGCAAATAATACTATCAGTTAATCAACCTATCACTTTTATGATAAATCTTAAAAACAAAAAGAGTATTTACTACGACAAATAAATGCTTTGATTCAAGATTTTTATCACCTGATAAGTTTTCATTTACTCATTCATCTAGCATCTTTGGCAGATTTTTTTATTACGGTCAATACAGCAACGAGCATCAACTTAATCGGCTATTTTTTGTATTGCATATTATACATGTCCTTTTAATTAAACTGAACAGACTTTACTAAGTACCTCCTCAAAATTCCAGGCCAACTATTTATTGAAAGTGTACTTATCGCCATAAATTTCCTTATTTTATTTAGTTTAGTTAACCAATTACGCATGATAACCACCTGTACATGCATCTATCCATAGAATGTACACAACCTATCGGGAATCTAATTACGGTAAAATTCAAGAATCACCACGGTAGTTGGTTTGTCCTATTTGTTCGTCTTTTAGAGAAATAAGTGGATAATCGGAGAATTCATATATCAAATATAATATGTAATCAAAAGAAATGTCAAATCTTAGTGATATCATGATTATTGTCAGAAATTGGGACCCTGTGTTCAATGTTTCAAGTTTGTAGATGTGCATCATAGAGGATTTTAAAAAAACTAATAAAAAACACCAATCCAGTGATCATTAAATTCCTCCACCTATATAGCTTACATAAACTTGCGAGGAAAAACTATATAGAACTTAAAAAAATGACTCGGTCGACTGATGAATACAAATAACTTGGCACATCCTACATTTTGCCAAGTCAATAAAAACTTAAATTACAATTGAATAGTGTAGTGATAAGCAGTTTAGCCTAACACACAAGTTATCTGACTTCATTTCAAAAGTTTGCTTGCAAGTAGACTGATAAATATGTAACTTATTCCTTAAGATTATACAATTATGTTACCTAATAAAGAATACTATGTTATTATCACTATTTTAGTATTAGTTGAACAATACATACTTTATACACATACATTTTGATTACATATTAAACTATCAAAGAATGCCATGCCATTCATAAATTAAATTATATTAAACAAGAAAAATCGATTAGAACATTATACATTCAAGATTGAAAACTTAATATTAGTCTACAAGCTAACTGGTACAAAATTAATATATTGAATATTTATTATTCGTTTTAATTTGGCATATTATAAACATACACATACGCATTACGTATATATATGACCTTAGATTTAATAAATATTAGTCAGAAAACAAAACAAAATAGGAAGGAAAACATTTAATCTGCATTTATACAAACTTAACAGTAAGTTTATATTATTATTATTATTGGTGTTGTTAACAATATGTTTTAACATGTTTTTAAAAAAAGAAGTATCCATTAGTTTAGTTCATACACTGAAATAAACATTGGTATCCGACTATTTTTTCATGGTTTCAACTTATCACTTATGTTGACACAATGAAAAAAGATAGCCGTGTTTTACCTTGAACATGATTGGAAGTAAATAGATGAGAGTATTCTGGTAATGAATTAATCGATTGAAAATAATCCCTGTTATAACGTAGTTATATTTAAAGTTAAAGCAGGTTATAGTGTGTTTTGATCAGCATGTGACTATATAAAAACTAGTAATAAGATAATGGACGAGAGATTGAGAGTAAGCATTTAGTCGATATTTTCAACATAACAAAACAGGTACAAAATGTGAACATTTCAATTTAGGTTTCTACACTAAACAGAACTACATTCTTAAAAAGGAAATTTATTTGTTTCCAGTATGATTTCAATATGATCAAATCATTCGCGTAACTAACCTCAAATCCTATATTAATATCAAGCGCTCATTTAATTCGCTGGATAACTGCGGTCTCGCATACTTGAACATGTTTGTCAAAAGAAAGCGGTATTTATGCTTTGATTCTAAACACTACAAGTGCTATTTATCATCAATAACTGAATTATCTGTAGCACCGATGGAAACCACAAACACTTGAACGTCCATTTGGAGTCTCCTCAAAATTAGGTGCCCAAAACGCTGCACGAGATCAAAATGAAGACAGTCAGGCATTGAAATCAGCACGAAACTATTGTGTTGAAGAGCACTGGTACACAATTCCCAACTTCGGTCAATATTTAAAAAAAGACAGTCTTCGTTAAGTGCGATTGATAGTATATTAATTCACTCTTAATGCAACTGATTACAAAAGTCCCGACTTCTTACATGAACTTTAGATTTCATTTTGTAACAAATGACAAACGGATTTAAATCTCATTGCTGACATGCAATTGCGTCCTTACAAGTATTTACTATAAGTGGTACTGTTTGAAGTCATTTGTTAAGGCAGTTCTGAAATAATAATTTGCTCCAGTACGATTCAAAATAACCCAGACTAAATTTTAGATTCGGTTTCCCATTATTAAAAGTACTGGTGAGTAATGCAGGTCATTAGCAATTCAGAAATTTAAGTTATCTCAACCGTCGTCTCTTAGGTAGGAATTTCAGAAAATTGAGAACAGTGGCTTGATAAAAGTATGCCCACATAAACGAGGCATGGTAATGTCACATGACAAACTTCGTAACGAAATACCCACTAAATACTGTGTTACGTCAGTTGATTAATCAGGTGACCGAAGTGTCAAAGCAATATAAATATTGGCTAGCAATAACTCAAAATATAAACGGTTGTTTATCATAATTATCTCGATTGGTTGTATACTTTGATGTTTAAGAGTAAATATAAACTATGAATATTTATTATTCGAATAAAAGATTGAATATAACATTGCTGTTTTTGTGTTATAGAATCAGGATCTATACTCAGTAACACAACGTTGACTACAACTCCATAGCAATATTTCGAAAATTCAACAGTGAAATAGTATTGTAATTAGAAAGATCAGCTCTAAAACTACGTAGAATAGTCACATTGTTGCATATGAATTTTCAAACAAAATGACGAATAAATGTTTGCTTTTCTTATAAAGATATGTTTTTTTTTTGTTTCTCACCAAAACTGGAACTAATCGAGTAAGAAATACAATTTAAGGGCAATACTTTTAGTTGTTGATATGGGTAAATAGTTTCACAGTGATTAGTCAGTATACCGTTATGTCCTAATGACAACTTTAAAGTGTACACAAGGGAAGCATGTTATATTAATAAAATACTTGGAATCTCATATACGATATACAGCAGACTGCTTTTTCCCAAATTGCCTCCTACCACGTACAAGTTTTATGCACTCAACTTGGGGTCTAAATTTAATTACTTGAAGGTTAGTGATAATACGTCTCCCGTCACTAAATAACATGTAGGACGGTTCAAATTTGAGACTTAATTGTTAAGTGAATGCCTAAATTTCCGATGTAAATGTCATATTTCAATATATCTAATACTCACTAGCTACGACAAACGCAACCGCTGGTCACCTCATTACTACTAGTTTCTATGCCTATTTTTACGAAAGGTACGAACTTATGTGACTGTAGGCATTTTATTTTCAAGTTTAATTATGGTAGGTCAACGTTCACAGATCAGCAAGACAGTGAAAAATCTCAGTAACGTCAAGTAAATCAGTGATGAAGTAGCAGTATCTGGCTACATTTGTTGCTTGACAAATAACCTATAGGGAAAATATTTCTGAATGTTTTATTACAATTGTACAGTTCCTGACGGAAACCAATCATAGTAACTGACAAGTTGAAAAAAACATTGGAATTATGTCTATACCGATACATTAGTTCACTGATTTTGCATTTGATATACGATAATTAACAGGTTTAAATCAATGAAATAAACCAACTGGTATATCAACAAATATGTGAAAATGTTTGTTACGGACCTAGATCCAAACAAAACCGAGGTCAAATTTACTAAAGAACAATAGTTTTCAGAAATAACCGGCAATTGACATTACTTAGGATAACCGAATGCAATATATCCAAACAAAAAACAAGTTATTTTGAAATAACGATTAAAACAATCCTAGTTTAAAGTAAAATAATGGGTTTAAACCTACGTTAACAATTTTAAGATAATTTGTACAAAAGATGAATATTTCAGCAACATTTTTCTTGCAAAAACTCTGTATAAAAGATACCTATCAAAACATGGAATATTAAGTCCAAATATAAATTGGGCGAAAAGACAAAATGGCCATCAATTAGCAATCTTTATACTTAAGACAACAATCGAACCGCATAATCTGATCATTAAATTAGTTGAAGTATAAAAATGGCTTGAATTCTGTTGAAGTTACTCAGTTGTAAAAAATCTCACTACTCCATGCAATGTATTTTAGAAATCATGTACAATTCAATGAAACATATGCGTCATGAAAGAAGCAATCTCAAGTAGTTAAAGTAAATCTATAAAGTAAAGGACGGTATCTCATAATTATGTAACGGTTTGTAAGACAATGTATTATGCACAGGTGTTCTTACTAGACCTGTACTTTTGTATTTAGCAGGAAATATTTCTCATTAAGCATAAATTAGTTAATCAAGATATTCAGTTTCAGGGCGTAGTGTCACGGATTCAAAATAGTTCATTACGAAATCACTTAAACAGCAAATTGTTTTTCCTAGATATAAATACGATTAAAATATTCCAAATCCTATGAATGCTAACTAAACACTGTTATGATATATACTTTAACTAAATGTTCACAATAAATCTTTATAGAGATTCAGATTAAATGTAATAAATTAAAGAGTAATATGTAAATAAATTTCGGCTAGCGGTTAAATAACACTATGATAATGCATTGCGTTCGTAAGATTTTTCAACGGTTTACCGTTTAAGGAATCCAATTTTCCAAATTTAACCATCTGTAAACAGAATTATACACAATAAAAATGTATCATGATTCTGATTTAGACGATAATCCCATGAGTTAGCATACAACAGCGGTTCTTTTCGGATTCGCGAATAGAAAAATTGATATACACCTAACTGAATATCTAAAAAGAATAACGTCCACAACAAATAAAATTTCCATCGTAAAAAATTTAGTCTTCAGGCATATTCAATAACCAAACAAAAAATTCTATTGTAATTAGACTAAAATAATATTATTCAGAATATAATAATAAACGTCAAAAAAACAAGTTCCGAGTATACTGTTTGTCGACACGATGTTACAAGGAGAGCCATAGACTCGTAAGCACATAACCAAGAACACTAAGCTGAACAATTGAACAAACTTTAGATGGAGATACGAAAGAAATGAGACATTAATGAATTAGATGAAATCAACAAAAAAATATGGGCTGAGTTGGAAGGAAGAACGGAAAATGACCGAATTTTCAAGACTTTAAAGTACAAAAAAGAGGAATAGCATATCATATTCCTGATAAAATGTAAACAAATTTATATATAACTCATACACTGTTAAACCACAATAATGATTCATATCTGATAAAGGAGAAAAAGAGTTGAGGACTTTATAAATGAGAAATTCTCTGGAGTAAAAGACTGATTGGTGTTTATATAATTGAATATTCACAGTATGAGAAAGAGGAAATCAAAATTTCATACAGTGTTATTCCACATACACTTGTGTTAGAATGCTAAAAATTCTATTTCCCGAGATGGAAATTAGTGAAGAGAAGTGTTTCTTCTTTAATCATGTTAGAAAATATTCAAGAACTGATATCTCCTTGAGACAGTGGGATTATGTGAATTTTTTGAAGTACCGAACAAATAGTTCAGTAAGCAAAACATGTTTGTGGACCATTAATACTAATGATCAGACATTGTAAAACAATGATTATTATCATTAAAAAGCTATATAGCAATTCGAATGAAGGCAGGATCACACACATACAGAAAAACTGAACAAAAAATAACAGATATCAAGTGAAGTTATCGAGTGGTTAACAATTGGCAAAAAAAGATAAATGATAAGTAAGGAAAAAGAAAACTCCAACAATCAGTAAGGAAAATTAATATAAGAGCATAATATAAAACAGGGGAAAACACCACTAACATCTGATGACTGTATATCTTTATGCAATAACAATTTTCAAATTATTTCAGTTAGCCGTTATTTTAAATTTAGATAAAGCTGTATTATAGTAATATATATGACCACAGAGACATTAAAGTGAATGCATGAAAATGGAAACAAATACAAGCAGGTGTGTAGTAGACATCAATGTAATTTTATTGCTAGTGTTTCTTCTTTCTGGAAAATGATGGCATTCGGAAGCTTCCTTTCTTTTTGATCTTTTTCTCAAGCGTTTTACTTCCCTAAATATTAATCGAATTATACGGAACAAAATTCATTATTACTGATTAAAGAGAGTAAAACAAAAAATACCATATATCGAAATACAATTATTTGTTCACTTCTATGTAAAAGTTTATGCCTAAATAAAACATAATTCCTAAAATTTCTCAAAACTGGAATAATTTTTGTTCAGAAAAAAAACCGACGCAATAATTATCCCATCTTTTATCGTATTACTGCATTCAACTAGAATATACTAAACTAAACCAATACCACGAGGACGTGAACAGCAACACTAGCTTCACATGCTATAACTACCAATAAAATTACATAACTGCTAATAATAATGGCAACACAACAACAATTCGTGAATATAAATACATGCAAAATATGGAGAAAAAAGGTGAAAATAACCTCAACATTATTATTCAAAAGATCACCATCAACCGATTGGAGGGTATTTGAGTTCGACATTACAGCTGAAAAAGGAAATAATGAAAAGTGCGTCAACATTGTTATTGGATTAAATAAATATTCCATTCATACGTAAAACTATAGTACCTAAATTTTAATTGATATTTTAACTAATTAACACTGCATGGAACACCCAAACTACTATCGGTCCCAAGAGTGGGTAAACAAAAAGGATTAGACAAAATATGACCAAGACTAACAACGCGAAAAAGGAGTTCCAATATCAAATCATTGACCTGGAAAAACAAGAAGTAAAATAAGCGCCAATAGAACAGCAGAACCACAGCACAAGGATCATCAAACCATATTTCAAAGAAAAGATTTACCATGAATTCACTCAGTGCTTGGCACGCATCAATGATGACAGTAAAGACGATAAAAACAAGATTTATGAGAAGCTGCAGTCCACCGTAGAGAACTAAACAGGAAAAGCCATGATCAACTTGACGAATGACATGAACTCCAAGACAAACATGGAAAACATAGGGTATTAAGAAGTCATGAGACTAAATGAATTTAAAAAAAGAATCAAGGATGACCAGAGGCTTATAGATCTGTTGTTGTAGTTGTACTTGCCCTCACAAATACAAACACAAAACTACATGAGAACACACTACAAAAAACAAGACAAATCACATTTACATCAATAAAAAGTTCACGAGGTTCATGGAAGTCAAAGGAACAAACAAAGAGGCTGATACAAATTCAGATCAACACCTGGTGGTGCCCTGGCTGAAACTAAGAAAACACTGGGCAGTCAGACAAAAAGCAATACAAACGTTTAGTATGGTCACCCTTCGAGACACTGACAAACTCACTGAATTCAAGATAGCTCTCAGCAACAAGTTACAAGCCTTACTAGATATGCTCGAAAAAACGGAAACCACCATAGCGGATAACTAGAAAAGGATTAAAGAAATGATAACACCAACATGTCAGGAGGGCCTGGTTCCAATGAAGCACCAGAATATAAAGTTAAACTCTATTAATAACCTAGGCATCATTCAAGAAAGGAAAAACAAGTGGACGGCAGTCGACAACAGCCGAACAAGAACAGAGGAACCCAAGTCAAATGCGGAATTCACAGAAGTAAACAAGCGAGTAAACGACAGAATTGGAGGTGATAAGTGGAAATATCTAGAAGGCCTGGCAACTACAGAAGAACAAGCTGTAAGAGAAGAAAATATGAGAGAACTATATTATGCAATAAAGAAGCTCTCAGGAACAAAATACGGCAAACCAGATATACCAGTCAAGGGCAAAATGGCAAGCAATCATTTGGGTTCAGAAGCAGCAGAACTGATCGGTAAAGCATTTTTAAAAGAGTTCTTGAATAGACCAGTACCTCTGAGTCCATTAGATACCGAAGCCACACAAACAAACCTCCTAATGGATTACATCGTGCCAATATTGGAAATCAACAAAGCCATTCAAAAAACCAAAAATGTCAAAGCAGCAGAACCAAACAGTATGTCAGCTGAAGCAATGATTTTATTTATTTAGTTGAACACATATATATTAGTACAGGAGTGCGCCAAATATGTATGCGCCACACAAAACAATGAGAATTTAAGAAAAAAAATGAGGAACGTAAAAAAAATTTTTTAAACAATAATGAAGAGATTGGTGTAAGGGAGTGTAGTAATAATCATAGTCATAATGGGGGAACGGAAAGTTACAATCAGAACAAACCTTTCAGTTAAGGAAGAAACAACCACTTTTATGAAGAAAGTAAAAGAAGGTTACAGCAGGATCGCCACTCGCTTCTATTCTGAGCCATATCTGATAACGTCTCTAGCCACTGTGTAGTACCATCTCTCGGACCCCAACCAGGGAGTCGTGAAGGACCAACAGAAGCCAGTCCTTTGCAGCTTTCTTTCATACCACGACACCATGTCATGCACTGATCACCTCTCCGCTTCTTCCAACCAGTCCCAGAGTCGGCAAATAATGCACGACGTGGAATTCTCTGGGACGGCAATCGTAGAACATGTCCAAGTCACCGAAGTCGGTGTTTCAAGATGGTGACACCAATTGCATTATCATATATGGGAGTAACTGCGAAGATGAGTCACGTCCTCTTCGCAAAGATTTAGAATGGAAAACAAGCAGTAAGAGACTGGACAGACAGATACCTCATCAAGATACTGAAGAAATGAGATCGTGATAATTGTGAGAATCGCAACCGAATCATACTACTGTCAGTACCAGTTAAGAGTCCAACAGATTGTTGCTGAACAAATGAAAGATTTAGATGTCCAAATTCGAGATTAATAAGCTAGCTTTCGTTAGGATATATCACGTACCAACCAAACTGATATAATTCGCATCACTATTAAACAACCAGTTGAACTCAACTCATAGCTAGTTATCAACTTCCTCGATGAGAAATTATTCGACATAGTGAATCGGAAAACCGTATGGAATATTTATCGGCACTGTGGAGTACCTGGGTAGATCACCAGTATCATACGGAACTTTTGTGAGGGACTGAATTGTGAAGTCGTGGATGAAAGGCAGCTCACAGATGCGTTCCAAATGAGAACTGGTATCAGACAAGTTTGTCTACTTGTCTTTCCATTTACTTCTGGTTTTTGACTGGATAATGAAAGTCTCCACATCTCAGAAGCATGGATTACAGTGGTCGCCTTGAACGCAACTGGATGATTTGGACTTTTCAGATAACCCAGCCCTTCTATGTCCTACATAGTAACAAATGCAGGCGAAGACAGACAGTTCAGAGGCAGCCTCTGAAGCAGTAGGCCTCAATGTTCACAATGGACAAGATACTAAAGCACAACACAGAGAGAAACAATTACATCACGCTTAACTACAGAGCTCTGGGAGCGTTGGAAGCATTTATGTAGCTGGGTAGCATCAGTGATAAACGAGAATGTGACGCAGACGTGAAGCTATAGATTGGTAAAGCATGGGCAGCAACAGAACACCTGGAACTCGAAATAACTGAGAGCCAATAGCAAAGTCGGAATTGCAATAAAAATGTTAAAAGTTTTATTGTACGGAGTCGAAACTTGGAGAATTATCACAGTCATAATCAAAAAGTACAGGTATTTATAAACAGTTGTCTTCACAAGATACTCCAGATTCGTTGGCCACAGGCTATCAGCAATAATCGCCTGGTAGACAACGAACTAGTTGGCAGTTTGGGAGGAGACTAGGATGTGGATAGGTCACGATATACAGAAATCACTAAAGGAGTACTAACACGACACCTTTAATAAAAGAAAAAGAGGGAGACCGAAGAGCATGTGATACTGGAAATTGTACGTAGACATCAAGAGCAAACATAGCACTTGGTAGCAAATAAGGCGCAGAGTTACTTGAATATCCCTGGTCAACGACTTATCGCTCAGGAGGGTTACCAAGCTTGAGAAAACATTATATGATTGCTCCCCGAAATTTCCGGAATCCATCTGAAAGGGTTCTATCAAGATAACTTCTTAAGAAACTGCTACTTTTTACGCCGGAGGTACCATAACGAGTAAGTACTGATAATATGATAATTATTCGATGCCATATAAATCATTAATACACGGTACAATGATCAGAAGAATATCAGAATACATATGAGATATTCAAGCTAATAAGGTTATAAGACGACGCAACCACATATTACAGGCCACCCATCAAACACTATTCTGGTGTAACGGTAAAATATCGAATCTCGTATTTCGTTTATTGAGAGTTGATTTGTAAACGAAAACAGTTTAACAGCAAAAAAGGTTAGAAAATCACCGTAGAATAACTGGAAACTAATCTCTTAAAGTTTAACAATAATCCAAAATTTAATCTGGAATAATGAAAATAACAAATTTGATAGATGTATTTCGAAAGTGTTGTTTCTCTATTCGAAAATTTGAATAAACGGCCTGATACATATACACACTAAAAACTCGATGTGTGATATAAGTACTGCAGGACTAGCCACAGAGAAATAATTGGGACCCAGCTACAAAAATCCATTTAGAGTCCAAGGTGACGATGTATCAAATATCAAAGTTATGAGTGAGTCTATAATCTGTATGAAAGGGTGTACAAATGTTATATGACGAAAACGTAACCAGATTAAAACGTCCACGTTTGATAAGAGAAAATAGTAAACCGAATCAAAATAATATGAATATTCAAGCCATATGTAAAGTGATGCATAATTACTCAACTTACACAAATGCTGTACATTGGCAGGTAGTGTTGCACTCTTATTTACACAGGAATCATTAATTCGTTTGTTCGGTGCTGGAAAAAGTACCAGATGAAATGAAGAAAGTATGAAATAAAATAGATAACAAATGAACAAAAGTAAAATTTAGGATGAACAACCTCCAAAAGTTCCTATTGAACAAACGATGTTTTCATTTAAATAGTTAAAAATGAAGCAATTTTTAAATTAGATGGGGTGGAATTCTACAAACTTTCAATAATCACAAAACGGCGATGAGTAATATGATGGTTCGCTGATTGAGTTAATAAAATCCATTCAGTAACCGAGTATTGTAACATCAAATCAACAAAACACAAATATAACCAATTTACTAGTCTACCAGACCGTTTGAATATCAAATTTAAGAATACAGCTTCTGAACAAATCAGAATTCACACCATATTAAATCTGAGTAAACGTATGGGCTTATGGCAGATCAAAATGATGGGTCGCGCATACATAAACAATCACTTAAAGTTAAACATAATAAGTATAAGTGACTAGGACAAACATCGGAAGTATGAATGATGTCAGTCAGACATTGAGACTGAAAGTAAGTGTTGGCAATTATTATGCACATACCACATTTGAGGTTGAGTTACACTTATCACTATAAAAAAACAATTTTACGGCTAAACTGACACAGTACGAAAGATATACAATAAATAACTTTCTAGCTCTACTGAGTGATTGGAAAAGCTTATTTAAACGCCAGTATAGGCTGCAACGAAGTTTTACATAAAGCTAATCAGAAACAAGCACATCAATGACCCGATGTGTAGGATTAAAAAAACATGTCTTTAGTCGTAAATTCATAAGAACAAGTGAAATAAAAATAAAAATTGATTACGAATAATCGGAGATCATCATTGCACTGCAAAACATGAATCAAATATTGTTACAGTCAAGGTAGGAATCATATAAAACTTTAAGGTATTTAGCGTAAATAAAAACATGCTAAATCAAACGCTATGTGATGTGTAATTGAAAGATAATGGAAAAAATTAAAATTTGGTTTAAAAAATAACAAATCAGGCTTACTTAAACTATTGGATGCCGTGGTGTCTACTGAGATCGAGACTGAACCGTTATGGATTGAATAGTCAGAAACATCATGTGGACTTCGTATAGCAGGAGAATGGGAATCCCTTCCTACACGAGATGATGCGCTTCCGGGTTCAGATCGTCTAACAGGTGAACAGACAGGAGAATCCAAAGTAAACGGATGAGAACGATAGTCACCTGAACCTTTAGTTCCGGACAATTTCCGGGGCGAATCGATCATAGAGCTGGTTACTGTATATTATTTAAGCAAATCCACAACATAATGCGTGATATATCCATGAACGACAACAGAAGTTATGATTTCGAAAATAGCATGCAAAGATAGAAGGAATGAAGAGATAACAACGGCTACAAAAATAAGGACATTAAAGAATTTCCACTTATAAACGACGTAACGATTCACATGCAAATAAAAGGATTATAAGAAAGATCATATTTAGAATTACAAATTCCTCACATGCAATACGAATCAGAATTGTGAGTCTATATTTTAAATAGAATATCATTACTTACCCATACCGTTTTGTGGTGGTTCATTAGCTTTTGCTAACCACTGATTTCGTTGTGCATTTTTTTGGCGACTGGCACGGACATGATCAACAATTCTAAAAAAGGTAAGGTGCACATATAATAAAGAGTGAATAATTATCCACCAAAACCTATCTATAAGCAATCTAACAAAACAGATTTGACAATAAAACTACGAATTTGAACATATGTTTTACGATTTCCATTTTACTAGCCATGTCTGAAAACAACAACAGTGAATTGTGTAGACGAATTAACCACGTTCTAATTATTACATACAGTTCCAGTGCTCGATTTTAAAATTCGCAACAATAGTTTATGTACTAACAATCTTCAACCAACGAACAATACAACTCTACTAGAGAAGCTAACAAACCTTTTTAACAGAAGTTATCTAGGCATTTTTCCATCGTTCAGCACATTCAGAAAGATGTGTCAAATAGTTCGGATTCATTTTTTGCTTCAAGGTTAGTAAATTCTTTCGGTACCTTAAGTCATATATATATATATATATATATATATATATATATATATATATATACCATTCAGTCTAAAATACGAAACAGAAACGAGTCTTAACATAAAACGTCAAAACTAGTTTGTAAATTAGATTGAGCAATCAATCTGTGATTACTAAGGATATCAATAGAAGACAATATTAAACAGATGACTTGGTAACTTTTAACTAATAACGATCTACCCTATTCATGAACGACCAATTTTGAAAATCATTCATACATTAGGACATATATATGTGACAAGAATTTTAAACTACCACAAGCTAAATAAATTTACCGAGAAAAGGGAAATGGGAACAGTAACATCAACATGAATACAGGAATAATATTCGAGAAAGACTAACAAAACCAACTCCTACTTATAGCGAATAAGATAATGATATTCATTGGAAACCATTAAGAAAATCGTTTATTGCTAAAAACTAACCTAGACACTTGTTCAGCGCCCGCTGCTTCAGCTGCAGCTAAATCTTCAACTCCACTGAACTCATTAGTGGAAAAGTCCGTTGTCAGTAAATCAGCCGCTGTTATTTGGTCACCATATGTGTCTCCTGGCCACGATGAACCAGGATGTGTGCGTCTCAGTAAATTAGGCTGACGATAAACATGACCAGTTCTGAAACCAGCACTATCCAGAACACGCATTTCAGCCTCAAATTCTAATTCTGCTGGTGTCCATGAAATATCTGTGAACAGAACAGAAAATAAATTACATTTACAATATCAATGCTTTTGGAAAGAAATTGAAAATGTTTCCTTTAATTACAACACAATCTCTAGATACCATAAAAACAAACTTTATTATGTAATTTTTTTTTAAATTTTAGACCACAATGGCACGTTATTACTAAGCAAATTTTATTTAAGTTCGTATTTCGATAATCCTAATTTTCTAAATATTTTTTGATAGAAGTCAGATTTTCTTTGTTATTTCGGGCGACACTGATAATATGTAGCAAAAAGTGGATACCCTCTATAAATAAAATGAACTCACATTGTCGATGAAAAGTTATCTGATATCTATTGCCTGTCAGTCAGTCAGCTACAATGTAGGACCAGGCACATATGTGCATCGGTCCAGGTTGCCATACCGCATCAGCCCAACAAAATGAACATCGGATTCATAGCAAAGGTTAGGTAAAAGGTGGTAATATATAAGAGAAAGATTGCATATAGAGATATAGTACAAGAAGAAAGAATTGGTTCGTAGAAAGAAAGATATGAAGTGATTTTAATCTCTTAGTTTAAGGGAAGACAGGGAGTGTATACACCGACGCCATTGTGATCGATTCTGAGCCATGTCACCGAGAGTCTCTAACCATTGGTTACGAAAGTCACGCGGACCCCAACCAAGTAGTCTGCATCTACCAACATGGCTCAGACTAGAAGTTAGTGACTTCAAGCACTGATGCCCGTTTTCGGTTTGGCCGCCCCTAACTTTCTTCCAACCATCTCCAATACCGGATAGCATTGCACGACGTGGTAGTCGGTGTTCAGGCATAAGTAACACGTGGCCCAACCATCTCAGTCGATGAAGATTTACAACCTCATCAACTGATTTACCATCATTTCCTAATACCCTGCCTCTAACCTCACTATTACTTACCCGGTGATCCCAACAGATGCCAGCAATATTTCTAAGGCATCTGTGGTCAAATACTAATAGCATACGAGTGTCTTCTACTCTTAATGGCCATGTTTCGCTGCCGTAAAGTAAAACAGAACGGACTGCCGCGCAGCATACTCGTCCTTTTATTGATAGACGGATATCTCGCCTTCGCCAAAGGTGACGCAAGTTGGCAAAAGCCAAGCGAGCTTTTCGGATCCGTGCTGTGATTTCGTCAGACACCAACCCATTAGGGCTGATCAGACTTCCAAGATAAGTGAAGTTGCCAACGCGTTCGACTACTTCACTCCCTATCCTTAGTTCAGGTGTTGACGCAGACCAGTCCTGAAGCAACAACTTGCATTTAGAGGGAGAGAAGCGAATTCCAAGCATTCTGGCATTGTTGCTTAGTGCTACCAAAAGACTCTGCATTTTGTCAGCGTCTTCACCAAACAGGACTATGTCATCTGCGTATTCTAAGTCGATAAGTGGCCCTCCTGGATGGAGATCAATACCCGAGAACTCAGTCGACGAGAAAGTTATTTCCATCAGTAGATCTATGATGAAGTTAAACAAAAATGGGGAAAGTGGACAGCCTTGACGGACACCACTTGAGGTTGCTTGGGACAGTTAGAAATCCATAGACACCACTAAGCTGTAATGTTATTGAGACAGTAGTGGGTGGATTTGCAAGCAAATAAGTAGGCAATCTTATGAGGAAAAGACTCGATTGATTAACAAAGTTAAGAATACTGACATGCTAATTTTGAAACACTCCAAATAGTAAACTTACCTCCATTATCACTGCCAGCTTTACCATTCACTGATGTATGACCATTTTTACTTTGATCTATGACATTTGATCCTATTTCTTCTGACTGGTCAGCTTGACCGTCTGTTAGCTGCACAGCACTGTCCTTTAAATCAGACAATAAACTTGTCATATTCCCTAGTTGCATCAATCGCATCTGTAAAGTAAGATAAATGGGATGTCAAGCTGATGTCAAATTGGTAACGCTTTCATAAATAACTATAATCGTATAAATCAAAATTGGTAGTCAACATTGTTCCATTAGAGCGCCTCCAAAAGTTCTATGCACTATTTTGTGTACTTTTTAATGACGAACTTAACCACAGAACTTCTTGATCAATGGGGTAGAATGCCGCACCAGGCTCAAGAAATGCAACTTTAGTCGGGAGACGCTAAGTATTCTTATACTCCAAAACCCGACGAGGGTGAATGTCTGATTAATGCATCCACATCCAGCTCGGTTCCCCCAAATCTGTTGTTCATGAATACTAGTAAAGTTTTGAAGAATTATAGAGACTAGTATTCTAGGCATAATGTTGAACAAACTGCTTTCTTTGTGATTATCACAAGGGGATGTTAATCATTTTGTATACACTGCGATGAACAGAGATCGAATCTAAACAGATGAGACTGAACCGAGCTCTAAAACTTTAGTCAGCGTAACTGCTAGGACTGGTGAACCATCTTTAAAGACCTCTGGAGTTATCGTATTTTGCTGATCTCCCTTCGGTTCAAACTAGACATGGTCCTTTGGATCTTCCGGAAGTTTTTTGGGAATAGTGAGTAACTGTAGAGTAGTGAGAAGGAAGTTGAACCTTCTATTAGTGTTCTGCCTATTGTCCAAATCTCCTGGACAGTGATTTAGAGTCCCATCTTTTTCCGAAAGTTTCACTAATAGTTAACTTGTTTCCTTGATAGGTCAGAACAGTTATCTCGTATTACGTGTACCTGCTACATTTTCGATTACTTTAACTTACGATATTGCGTTAACTTTTTATCAACCTATATTTGAGTTGTTGCTATTCATCGTCTGCTAGGCCTATCGTGTTACTCATGACATAGATTCGAATTACTAAAAGCTTGGTAAATTCTGGTTGAACTTTCGAAAAGTGTAGTATTGAATAGTATGATCCACAGACTAAAGATAAATGAGCATTTACTAGACAACTTATTGACGAAAAATCTCGTACAGAATTATAATGCATCAACCTTATTGTGATAAATAATTTCAGAAGTTAGATAGTCTTATATAAAAAGTTGACATTGACTTACTTGGGTTTGACAAGCAGCTATTACTCGTTTAACGAGATACCATGCTTCGGGAATACTAGAAGCAGTAACTGCCACACCATGATTTCGTAAAAACAACACCTTTGCTTTAGAGCCTAGATCTTTCACAATGCTAGAACGTTCTGCCTCATCTACCAGAATACCTCGATACTCATGATAGCGAACTCCATGATTTGACACTAGTTCAATGGCCTCAGGACTGACAGGCATGAGCCCTGCGCGAAGACACGAAACCTGTAGTCAAAAAATTTGCTATCAAAGTTTCATTGATTTACGAAACTATTAGAATAACTAAAACGGCTGTATTGATCAGTTATACGTGGTAACGATCTCTTAGGGAAGGTAGAAGAGATTTTTAAAAATTATAACCCTACTAGAAGAATACATTAACGAATGAGCCCTGTCATCTAAATTGGCACTACCAAACTTAATATCATTTCGTTGACCACAGAATGAGTATACGAAGCAAAAAAAATTGATTACATTCGTATTACTTTACTTTCAGAGAAAACTGCGAAATAATTCATATTTTCTTCAGCGATTCTATAAATGTCGAAAAATATAAGCGATGTGAAGAGTTAATTTATTCTTATGTGTAACGAATAGCAATGCAGCTTATTCATGTAACCAGACTTGCGAGTTTGCTTTGAAAGCAGCTTAAGAAAATTATCCTATGCTATTTCAAATGAATTTCAACTTTGATTAGATGGTTCGTTCAAGATTTTAATGAAGTATTTTTCGAATGGATATGACTTAGGAACGGATTTGAGACCACCAACAATAAACTAATTTTCAAGATCATAGATTACGCATTCCTTATCAAGATTATTTTCAGTCCTGATTGATATGTCAGATTATTTGGCGTATCAAAAATTTGGATATGAGATTCAATACACTGCTACTGTTTTGACCGTGGCGGTAATTTTAACCACTCAAATGAAGCTTAAAAAAACTGAAATTGAACTGGCATATAAGTACTCTCTCTAATAAGCCAGTCATCAACGTAGGATATGGGAAGAGCGCGCATCTGTCACAGCTTCCACAACTCACATCTGTATAACGAGAAATTAACCAGATGGGAGCTATAAAATAGGAAATAATATACAAAACAAAAAGGTGTTTTGGAAGAAAAAAACCTAACTGGAGAATAGAAAATTAGGAAGGCGGGCATCTAATCTAAGTCAGATAGTGGACAGATTGGTAAGAACTAGAACGTTTCCTATCCGTGTCAATATTTTGTCAGATACCACACTATCAGGACTGATGTGGTCTCATCAAATTAGTGTGATCAATGCACTTCACTACTTTATTTTCAATGAATAAACTGGGTAGCGATCCAGATCAATCCAGAAGCAGCATTTTAAATCTATAAGAGAAACTTACCGCATACATACTTGAACTGTTACTTACCGTCACTTCAAAAGAATCGATTTTTTCACCGTCCTAATATACTTTATATATAAATTAAAGTAAATGACCATGATCAGTCAGCAAAAATTAAATAATGGCCAAGGAAATATGTCGAGTTTATATCAATGGATTACTGTGCCACTTTATGAATTAACTAGTCAACTACAATTGACCATTTAAAACAGAAGATATTCGTAGGTCGCTAGTATACGATTAGAGATCCCATCTGATGACCTTTATTTCCATCTAACATTGTCATAGATGTGTTTAGATTGTAGTCAATTACCACTACCGATCACCTCACAGATCCAAAAAAGAAACTGCAAAGAATTTTCAAAAATAAACCCTGACAAAAATGCTAATTCGAAAGAGTATGAAGAAAGATCTTAAAATGTGGGGTTCATTTTTCATCCAATGAATACAAAATATAGCCTAACAACAGAAAATGAAGAGCTTGAACATGGTGATACATTTTTCAACACAAATACATTAAAGACATGGTGTTTACTGAAGCAAAGGAATAAACGCAATTGATTATAAACGTAGCATTAGGTTATGAGAGCAAATTAACACATGAAGTTATGGAATTAGACTATCAGTTACTTAATTGAATCTACACGTTACGCTACCACGAGTGGGAGGATGAGCGAGGAGTTAAAAGCTATCAAGTTGTTATAACTTGTGACCGCCGATTAGAGGGCAGTGACTTATCGATCGGACCAATGATGCGTAAAACAAGTGTGAACAGTCTAGAGTCTTGATTGGTCCTGCTTTCCACCTAGCTCAGCCAGTTTTGTTTTACTTTACGGCCGCGCAACGTGGCCACTAAAAGTAGAAGATATTTGTAAGCTACTAGTATTTGGCCACAGATGCCTTAGAAATATTGCTCGCATCTGCTGGGATCATCAGGTAAGTAATAGTGAAGTTAGACGTAGGGTATTATGGAATGATGGTAAGTCAGTTGTTGAGATTGTGATTCTTCATCGACTGAGATGGGTGGGCCGTGTTACGTATGCCTGAACACCGATTACCACGACGTACAATGCTGACTAGTGTTAGAGACGGTTGGAAGAAGGTAAGGTCGACCAAACCAAAACATGGCATCAGTCCTTGAAGTCACTAACTTCGGGTCTGAGTCATGTTGGGGGATGCAGACTACTTGGTTGGGGTCCGCGTGACTATCGTTACCAGTGGTTGGAAACTGGATGACATGGCTCAGAATCGAAAACAATGGCGTAGGTGTATACACTCATTGTCTTCCCTTTAGACCGTGAGATTATAACTTTTTTCTACGAACTAATTCTTTCTTCCTGTATCATAGCCTTATATGCAATCTTTCTTTTATATATTAATACCATCGAAGTAACGGCTTCCATGAATTTGGTGTTCATCTTGTGTTAATGAGGTATGGCAACTTGAAGCGATGAGTATATTTGTCTGATCCTACGTTGTAGCTGACTGAGTGGATTTTCGGACTTTTGTTTGAAGGTAAATAAAGGATTTTAAGCTTCACGGTAATGTGGTTTGAAATGTGTTGCCTCATTAAGTTCATAAATGCAACCAGGAACATTATAATCTACATAACTTGTACTTCTCTTTTGATTTTTCATCGATGTGTCAGTGTGAATCGTGAACACTAAGTGAGTTATAAAATTGTAGTAAATTATATAATATTCGTGTTAATCCACTATTTCCATCATAGGAATTATTTGACTGAATAGTCCTTAGCAATCCTCGATGAAACCTTTAACTTAAAATTAAGAATATTTTTTTCACTTTAAGTCAAAACAAAATACTATACAAATTCAGACAACTCACCGCTATTACATCAGCCAAATGAACGTGAATAATGCAATTAATATCTTTACGAGCTGAGTGTAGTGCAGAATGAAGAGTCCAACCAGCCTTATTTACACCTAACACTGAGCTACCTTGATCAACTATATTACCTAGAATAAATAAAAAACACGAGACATAGATTGATCCAAATAAATATTTTGAAATAAAAACATATATATTATAACTATGGGATGATAGTCAGAAAGCAAAAACACACCAAGGCGGAAGTTAAAGTTCACAACAACGAAAGTTCGAGCGATGAAAAACAAAACTACACGGATGAATAATTAGTGGAAAAACACATGGGATAGTCTTTGATGAAAAACTAGCAAAAAGTAAGTAATTCGCTCTAAACAAATATACACATAGTAAAATCATCTCATCATAAGCACTTTGAGGAGTTAATATTAGTAAAGCACATTTAAAAATGAGGATAAAAGCTATTCTGGTAGAAAACGAATACTTCAAAATCTATCTTATTGTTAAGATATTTATCCAAACTCAATAAACAGAGACAGATGAAGCTGTAGTGATATATTAAGGTGTTTCGTATGCATATATATGCGTAACAGCATTAGAAATAACGGATTATGGAATTAACATTAATGTATAAATGAGCTAAAACTATGAGTTCCCAAGCAGGTCGTTTACGAATGTATCGAAATACTCGAATTAATTTCAAACTAAGAATATCAAGAACTTCAAGCGTTAAACAATTATCAAAATTAAAATAAAAGTCCGATTTCCTTTTACAACGGGGCTGTAAGTGATGCAATCCTGGCCAACTGATGAAACAGTTGTCTATGGAAACACAAATAGCAAGCCTTTTTCCACAAATATTTGTGAATTCATTTTCATCAGTATAGGGTTGTGAAGATTATTAAGTTTTTGATTGAGGTCATGAACTGATAGATGTTAGACCACCATTGAAACCCTGGAATCACTGAACGGCCGTTTCGTCCTATTGTGAGATTCCATGTCGAGTAGAGACAGTGGAAGATGGTCGCGCAATTTCGTGGATTGGTTGGGGTTAGACAACAACACCGCTGGATGCCGACTCAGTGGTCTAGAAGTTAAGCATTCGTGCGAGAGACTGAAGGCCCTGGGTCCGAATCCCATGAGCGGAATCGTGGATGCGCACTGTTGAGTGGTCCCACAACAGAACGAAACGACCATCCAATGCTTCCAGGTTTTCAATGGTGGTCTAACATTAATCGGTTCATGATTTCAATCAAAAAACTCGTTTTTACTTATAGTTGAGTGAAAATCTATGTAGCATTATTATGGATGAAAATACAAAAAGTAACGCTAAGTAACTCGAAACTGTGATAGGATAATCGGTAAACGATTATAGTCAGAGCAAAAAAGAAAAGACATAACAGTCAGGTTTACAGTAATTAAGTCAGACTCGTGAAACCAAGATTACCCTAATACACATGACCATATTATCGATAAAAATCAGTCAGTGATTTATATTCATTTCCCATAATATTTTAGAAACAGTACAAAATGAACATTATACACTTTTACGACGAATAGGATGTGTCTGAAAAATGCATTTTATCTAATAGCTTATTTACATTATAGAATCTATTGCGAAACTTTCATATTTGCACGGAAGCGAGCCGTCAACACATTTTAAATGTAATATTACATTAAAGAACTAATCGGTCCAAAATTTAGCGCGATCATTACAGATCAAGCGCAACGATTACGGACCTAAACAAATGGAATTTAAAAACGATCGTTGCGCAACAACGTACGCAGTAAAAAAGGACTGGTCAAGACAAAAGAATATTTTATTAATTTTTAAGAGAGTAAAACGAGAATGATCGTAAATCATGTTTTTTCCTTAAGATAATTTAACCATGAGAAAGTAAACATCATATCGTTCATTTTTCTTTATTTACCCCAAATACTTTCTGCATGTGCCTATCCAACGAGTTTGTTCCACGTATCCTTATCTGGAGACCTTAATGCATCGTCATTTGTCTCTACTGTTATTGCTGTTGAACTAAGTACCGTAGCAAGAGCAACACAAATCAATTGGATCCCCACTATCAGTTATTTATGTACCGTAAGATTAGAGGGGCCTATCAGACTGAGAAAAAACTGACACCATAAACCATAGTTTTGTAGTCGCTTACACCCGACGAATTGTAGCCTGGATGCAATAAAAGATGAATTTCATCACCAACTAAATGACCTCAGTAAAGCCCATGTATGTCGAGTCGGCAACTTAGTGTAAACGAATGAGCGGTCGCATTCAAAAAGGAATTTAGATAAAATCGACCTAGTGATACACAGAAATCCGTGGGTACTGAAAAAGATCTCAATATGATCTAGGTGAATCGTTTACTTCGCAAGCCCAAACAATAAAAGTGGTTGCATTAAGCCACCTTAGAGCCTTGTCTGAACGTAAGAAGCTAGTCGTCTGTCACTAGATATACAATAGTGGAATTTACATGGAAGTACTCACCGTTTGCATCTATTTTTACTAAACTAGAGGCTTGAATTTCATGATAGAGTAACCCGAAAGGGTTAATTAAGAAATGATTGGGATTTGTAGTGCACCTTGCCTAGAAACAAAATAAAACCAGTATTAATAAGCTTTAATAAACAACTAGCATTCAGGATACATTGTACTTGGAAAGAATATCTAAATAACTTAGTTATAGCCCTTATACCATCACCATTGACAATTTCATAAAGGGAAGTAATCCATTAACTAAACTTCACCTTCGAGAAAAAATAGCTGTAAAGGACTGGCACCTATCGGTCCATAACGACATCCTGATCGGAGTAAAAGAGATGGTGCAATTCAATGGCTTCAGATGTGATTAGATATGGTTCACGATAGAAGCCAATGGAGAGCTTGTCGTTTCCTTTTATACTCTGAATAAGAATTAAATCTTTTCAATTGAAAAGTATTTCTCCATTTTATTGTCAGCCAAACTGCATCTATGTTATACGATCCTTAGCCATTTCTCGTTTTCTGCAAGTATACATCTCTTTCTCTGTTGTTTCTTCTCCATAATATATCTATATTTTAAATAGGCCATTCTGTTTTCGGTGCCCAGTAACACGAAATATAATAAAATAGAATACTGTTTAATTAATGTTGTCACATGAGCACACCATAGTAAAGGCAGATAATGGACAAACGAATTACAAACCACGTTAAATTGTAGCACTTATGAAACAGATGATTTACAATCACAATTACGACTGACCAAATACTGTGATAAATGATAAAGTGGTTCGCTTAGGTTTGAAGACTATGCAACTAGACACAAACACTAAAATCCAAACTGCCTATCAACTTACATCAAAAAGCTACAAATCGTAATACTGACGGTTCATATTCTATCTATTATAAATTGTACCAACTATACACTTAATGCTGATTTCGTCACATACCAGTTTGTTTAGAAAATAGCCTTCGGTACCATTCAGAAGATAAAACATTGTATCAGTTACTTACAGATATATGGTTATAAATTGAATGCGTCCATCCTCTCATATCAATCAAACGATACAGAGCAGCCAAACTACGTCTCAACACGCAATCCTCCCGAGGATAGGCAGCAGCTTCTTCACCACGAAGATCATTTATTGGTATTGTTGGGAGGCCACCTAATATGCATAGTTAATAATTGAAAATAAAATTGGCAAAAAAACTATTTTATAAATACTACTAAGTGATGAAACGAATCAGTGTATGTGAGCCCAAAAAATACAACAGAACAGAACAACAAAGAAATAGTCACTTACGCTGATAACCAGTACCAACTGATTTGAGTACCTCTGGAAGACAGGTATATATTGAATAAAAAGATAAATAGACATTAGGCTCTATCTTATCAAAATTTCATTTTTGTTTCTTACAAATGAGATTAGGAATCTAAAAATATATTTACTTTTTATTTAAATCTCGTTTCACTCAATAAAAAATAATGTGGAAATATTAATGAAGCATAATAATCAGGTTTGAATGGCCGGGCAGAACCTCAGGCCATGGACATTGTAATGAATAGTAATGAAAACGTAGACAGTTACCCTACACCAATCAGACGGTAGGCAGAGACTGAATTGTTGCATCTACGCACAAAACTATGTAAACCAGTTATGGTCACAAAGGATACCCCACTAGAATTCCGCAACTATGGGCAAATATAGTTTGATAATAAGGTAAGACTCACTATATCCCAAGGTTTTAAAAAGGGAATAAACTTTTGACAGTTTACATCTTGAGTTGCTATAACAGAGAAAATAGAGATACTGCTTTATAGTGGTTTATTCACTAAAAACCACTGTTCATTTATAACCTAACACGATTCATGCTATCACAGCCCGCTAGTATAAAAGTAGTTCCAGATTTCAACGTATTAAAAGCCTGCTAGGAACATTAACAAGACTTGAGACTTCCAAACTGCAAGAAAATTAGTACACATGAACCCTAATTTATTCAACACTTAGAATACTTTGTTCAAGTACCTGACTTTCATACAGCTAGATATGAGTAGTGTACTTACCTGGTCAGATTAGTTACCTAGATCATCAAACACACCTGCAGCGAAAATTATTCAGATGGTTCGTGTCGACAGAACTCGTACGGATTTGCCCCTTGGGTATAAATAACGAATAGTAATGTTACATTTTACTCGCCTTTAACCACTTAACAAAATAAAAACCTGAACGGCACTCACACTTTACTTTCTGAACAAACGAATCAAAATAACGCATACTAGGTATCCATAAATCTGTTGTTTTAAGAGCACTTACACTTACTATTTACGATACGCAGGTGAAATGACCAGTTAAACAAATAGGTTATTAAAGTCGGTGATGTATTTTGGAAGTATATACTTCAACATTACTGCTATTGCAATACTACATAAACTCACATAACACGTGATTTCGAAGCCAAAATATTAATTGTGGTGTCACAACTAAGCACATATATTGAAGCTTCGCATTGCCCACTGAGCTACGGTAATAACAGAACATTCTTGCTTTAGACAATGGCTGGATTTTGTCAACATATAACTGATTAATTATAAGTGCTTTGGAAGAAAATTGCATAACCAAGAGGTTTGTTCCTTATACTACATGCCTGATTTGCAACTGGATTTTTATGAACTACCTACCCTGGCTAACAATCTGCAGTAGTTCCTGGTTAAGTATCGTTCGTTGAGTGGATACTCCTAAAAGGAGCCGAAGTTATATCTGGTTATCCTGTACCATATGAAACGACTGGTTTGGATGTGCAAAGTGCAAGTGATTGAACATTTAATCACCGAAACACAAGTTAGTATAAATCACTCGATGTTTCGAAGTGTTGAAGTTTCCTACAAAATAATCGGGCTGGGACGATTCTCTGTATAGTTTTCATTTCGAACGTTTGTTGAATAAAGCACTAATATAGACGTGATTAATGTACACTTTTTGGCATTATGAATCAGCATCACTGAGATTAGATAGTGACTCTAAGATGACTGAGTCAAAAAGGCAATCACCTAACTAGTATTTTAAGATTACGAATATATAACATACTAGCTTTGACGAATATATATTAACCGTGTTAAAAGTCTACTACAAAAGGCACAAATGAAAAGTAAAATGTACGCATTGTTTCGTGGCCAAAATTACTAACTATATACATCAAAAATAGAATTTAAACTGAATATAACAGCTCTTACCTTTCAAGTCAGCCACATTTTCTAGTCTCATAGTTTGCCCAAGAAGACGTGATAACTGCTGAAGAGCACCGCCTTGCTTATGGTTACCAGACATCCTGTTAAACGAGCTCATATTCTTTCCTGTACTGTTATGATTTGACAAGCGATTCTTTAGATTAAGACTGACTTCTTCGTCACTCAAGCCTAGTATTTTCGAGTATAGAAACTATGAACTACCAGATAGACAATTATCACTGAAATCTGTCATTATACTCCACTACCAGATAACCATTAAAATGGTCGGAGCGTTGTACTCGGACTAAATCCCTAGAATCCTTTTCGTCAAACCTCCGACGCGCAATCACTAGAGAAACGATGAGACTGGAAAATCGCGCTTACTAAGTCCAACAAGTATGATTTAAAACAAGCAGAAAGTACTAGTGACAACAATGAGGTTTTGATAAAGCACAGCTTAAAAGCATAAAATTTCCGAAACGTTGATTTAATTAGCTCTTATCACTGTTCGACCAGTAAATTATCCCTGAGTTTTTAGTAAAATCGTGCATCGAGCTGAAACGTTTCAACTTTATAGGATTGTTCAGTGGATTTTAGACTGAGAATGAGAGACGCGTAAAGATCAACAAAAGTTATTCACACGTTTGTTTTTTCCTACTGTGTGTCTCTATTCCTTTCGTTTCATAATAAACCTTTTATGTAGTAAGGTTCCGCCTGTCTTGTGTGAATCCCGAAATACCAACACACCTTAACAATCATGACAAGGGAATTTAGATTAGATGTCAAATGAATGATGCAACTTTAACTGAAGCTCTGAGATAACTCCATTTCCATTCATCTAGAGTGGACCTACCATTACGCTGAAGATACCACAGGTATTCGTAGTCTGACAACGCTTTAACCAGTAACCCCTAATATGAATCGTAGTCACCAAGTAAAATCAAAAGACAGAAGCGAGGAGGTTTGAAGACATATTTGATAGGCTATCAATATATCGAGGATCTTCTGATCTAATCTGGCTAGCGATTGCAGGGGATGTTGAGCACGGCGTTCCCACTCGTGATCTGGTGCGGATGCGTGAACGAGCACCTTCAGCTAGGTGAGTCCATTGAAACTAATGTGGTCAGCATCCAACGTCGAATACTTAAAGAGCTATTTATTTTGGAAATTTATTTACCACTACAGATCGCTCCCCTCATAGTGGGGTAGTGACGACCCGAAGATGTGGCCAGCCAGAAGTTCAAACCCAACGAGTTTGTCGATGGTAAACACTCTTCTGATAGTTTGCTAGATTTAGCAGCGTCTGGTCGTCATGTTATAGGTTATCTTGATAGAGTAGATAATTAATTTAGATCGAGGCCTTCAGTTTTCTTTTTCTAGGATTCCTACAGAGCAGAATGAATTATTTTTTCTTAGAAGTACGGAAGATAACTCAATTGTAAACTATTTACACATAAACTGCAAATTTCAAGCTATACGATAAGATCTCAATTCTACATATTCATGGTACATATGATCATATTCGTACAATAAGTCATATACAATAATACATATTCATTTTCGCTAGACGATCAAACCATTCTCTGTCATTTTCAAAACCATATATAATCATATTTGACGAAGAATTGCATTTCACATTTGCATTCTATTCCTCAAACCGTGTTTGAATGCTATAACCCACGCAATTTATGTATTTACAGGATTTATTCAAACCTCTACCTAATATCAAGTAATATATATATTCATGTATGTTAAAAAACTGTAATCACCATTTTATATACTATCGTTTAAATTGTATTTGGATACTATAACTCATTCAATTTCCGAAGTTACCTGTGCAATTCAGTCAGTCTTTCATAGTTTTTGGTCAGTATTTTTATCCAAAAAGCTGTTTCATATATTTGGTCATAATGCACCATAACAATCTTAGATGGTAATAGTCTTTTAAACTACTTATATCTGCACTTCCCAATGTTTACTAATACAGGCTTTCAGCTTATTTATGTACCACATACTGCACCAACTTTAATAGTTTGATACTATTTATTGACAGTTCTAAATTACTTTATTATAAAAGACTATATATATATATATATATATATATATATATGTTAAAATTTACACAGCGTGCTCCTTTATGTTCTATTTCGCCTCGACACATGTACTGATATACATACTACATCTCTACTGAAATCTTCCCCTCTTGTTTTTCACAGCACTAATCCTCAAGATACGTTCACTTTTGTTTTAAACACAGGTTTTGATTTCTAGACTAACTTAGACCCTCGTTATTGAACTTTTCACCCATTTCTATTTCCAAAATTTTGTTTAATCCATCGGCTATTCGTCACTTTTTTTATCATCCTACAAAGGAAAATGAAGGCCTCTGCTTCCGGTCGTCCAGTCAAACGTAGGAAAACGACACAATCCAACAATACTACCGACATGATTTCCAACAGTTTCAACAATGCGAGCTACTCCGTCCATCCGGTAGCAGACAAGCTGATATCAGTTATCTATATTTCAGACACTTCGAGGACTCTATTTGTAAACAATTATGATAATAACAACTGCAATCACATGGATGATATAATAAGTTGCATGTTGACATGAACATTCTATTATATTAATGCTATTCTTATCGTTATCCGTCATCTCAAGTTGTTGAAAAAATATCAATATGAAAATGTGCAACAGACGTGGATAGATAAGTAATAGACTCATCGCAATTGGCTTCTTTGGAAGATTTGACCGCGATTGAATATGTTCATAGTTTCGGCTCACCAGTTGTAGTGTGGCATCGATTCGTGGTTGACTATGATAACCAATACAGGAAGACTACGTGCTAGTTAACCATTAAGATCCCCCGTAGGCCAAATATCAGAAGGCAGTTGGTGGCTGTAGTCGAGACGTATTTGTTGGCGATCTCGTAGTATCGAAAGAATACCGAGATCGTATCAAAGGAGTACAAGCGGAACTACTGAGCAAACGTAAGTTCGTGCAAGGTCACGATCAACGGAAGAATGCATGTATTTTGGTACAGTTGAACAAACACGTACAGTAAAACAATCACTGGTACAATTGGTTATAATACTAATTGTTTCCATTACACCAATCGCGTTCACTTGATAAAAATAGCTCACTATGCACTAAAATTAACTTCTCAGACCCGTTTTATCTCAACTATGCATATTTGACTCATACATATTGATATTTGGTTATCCTTTTCACTTAATTGAGAGTTTCGTAGCATCATTCCAAACTATGACTGCACAAACACTTATTCTAACATCATATCTTGCTGAGATAATAAGTTATATTTTCCTAATTATTTTCTAAGTTATCTTTGTTACTAATTTGATGATACATACTTAGTAGTTTATTCCTGTTCTGTGTTCATAAACACGCTTAGTATGCTGGTTGCGCATTTCACGTCTCCTTTATTTTCCCCTTTTACTTCTTTAAAGTCGACCCATTATTCTTCTCAATTACATAGAACCTAGTCTATTATCATCATTATTTATTTTTTCTCTCTTTCAAATATGGCAACTATGGTGCTAACATTATTGAAACTTGTGTGTTATTGCATTTAAAAAAGCCGGAATGGTTTCTTCCCAACACTTATATACCCATCAGATATTTGTGAATAATATTAATAAGAAAATTGAAAACATGTGTTTAAATAGATAGCGTGGGAAAACAGCCTTAGTATTGCTGGTTAAGTGTACCATCTCTAATCATAAACAGTCAGAAACAAACAAAATTTTCTGCCCACAAAGCTGGATGCATTCAATTCATCACCCTCATCACCAATGATTGCTGGCCTTTTGTGATGTTCTGCTCACTTAGGCTTATTTTTCGGCAAATATTTTACCTCACATGATTTTCTGTTCCGAATACTGCTGGAAAACACCATTTCTATAAGTACCGTTTTACGAGATTATCTGGCAGTTACAAATTATGGACTTTCGGTAAGGCATCAGTGGAAAGCATTAAATGACTACAGTATAGATTATGGATTTCCAAACGAAGCATAAACATTTAAAAGGGTATTATGGCAGACGAATTTTTACTGAGGTAGGCGAAAAAGTGTGGAAATGTGGTAGTTACACATAAGGCAATAGGTAGTGAGATGAAGTTAGTGGTAATTCAACTGTGTATGTGGAGGAAGTAAACTGATGAAAAATAGACAAGAAGGAATTCATATTAACTTAGTATTGATGGTATTTTGGTCCTATCCTAACCGAGCTGTCATTTGCAAGTGCTATAGATGTAAGACAACGGGTTGTAGGAACGAAACTGTGAAGTTCTCTTGACAACTCGTTAAAATAGCAATGAATTTCTTTTCAGGGACATATAGCTACGTAGATATATTTAATTCAACTGAAAAAAGGATAGAAAGGGTGACAAAACTCAGATTCTCATGTAATTTAGACATGCAGAGTGTCTACGAGTATGGACTTCAGTGAAAAATTCTCTCAGAACACAAGTTATCTCCCCACCTTCATGTTTGCTGGTCAGTAACGCCACCCTCCCTCCTTTTGTGATGTTAGGCTCTCTTCCATATATACGCAAAAAGCACAAATAATTCGAGGGAATATCATAAGGTTCCGAAATCGAGTAGAGCGTTAGAGGCAACCAATCGGTCATCAAACAGACAAACAAAATCTGCACAACTGACAAGCTTTTCGCAAGATATTTTGAGGGAGATTAAAAGATGCTATAATACGATTAATGACATACCTCGATTCAGGTTCAGCATCAGCAGTAATACGCTCATTTATGCTATTAATATAACAGATTTAATCTGAAGTTGTAGACTTGTGATGATTTAACTGTCCTAGCTATAAGATTTAAAGTAGAATTCAAATTATTATCTCTACTGACTCAACTTATCATGCAATTGGCTGAACTGTTTGTAAGATAATTTGAAGGACACAAGTAGGTCTGTAACAGTTTAGGTTAATCGGTTGAGAGTTGACCTCAAACGACTAAGTATATGTCAAAACAAGTATTTATTCACTTCCTTATTTTTCATAGGCATTATATTTCCTATTATCTTATATTAAGTGTTGAAAAGCTTTGTTTGTTTGAACAGGTAATACCACGCTCCACTGTGGCCGCGCAAAGATAAAAATAAAGACCTATTCACTAATAGTCTGGTTTCTTCTATCAAAAGAACGAGGATTATCTATAGGCACGAAACTAGTTAGCCCTACTGAACACAAATTTTTACTTCGCTTTTACTATTAGTATTATTTTATTTAAATACGAAAGCCATCATTCAGAAGATACAGGTGTTTATTAACAGTTGTCTACGCAAAATACTTCGGATCCGTTGGCCAGACACTATTAGCAACAACCTACTGTGGGAAAGAACAAACCAGAT